TTGATTCGAGTTCAATAATAGAAAAGTCCTTTTCAAGTTGTCGAGTATATATAGCCTAGTAACGATAGTTTAAGTCGGTTATATTCGGTGTTGAAATTGTCATCCCTAGAATATTCTGACCATTTTTTACCAAATTCGTTAGCAATTTCAAATCGTTCTGTGAGCAATGGTTCTGTGAGTAAATTGAAATGGGGCTCCTACAAGTTTTTCAATGTCAGCCCAAACCTTCTTTGTTGTAGCCAGTGGGGTTATGTTGGAAGTAAAAGCTTCAAACGATTTTCTTTTTGCTGTTTTAACGGCTCTTTTAAAATATGCGTTGGCTTTTTTTTTTATAAGAAATAAGGTTTGTGTCGTTCATTTGATGTTTGTATACATGCTAAGAATGTTGTTTTATTTTTTGTAACTTTTGAAGCTCTTTGTTCCACCAACAAATTTTTTTGAATAAGTGTAAGGCTTGGTCTCGGGTATTGAAAGGATTGCAGCTGTTCTTATGCATTTGGTGAATTTGGCTACTTGTAATGGGATATTATTATCGGATGGAAATTGTGAGAGATTCTCACAAACTGAACTAAATTTATCCCAATTTGCCAACTCTATTTTGTATTTGGGGGAAAATTTATTTTTTGCGAAATTATGTTGTTGGGTTAAATTTGTAAGAATCGGGAAGTGATCGCTTCCGTAAAGGTCAGGGAGGGCCGACCATTTACAGAAGGGGTAGATGACTGCCGAGGTTAAAGTGAGATCAACATTTGTAAAAGTCTTGTGTGTGTTAAAATGGGGAACTGAGCCATCATTTAGCAGTACTAAGTTGCTCTGAGCGACTGCCTCGATTACTTTACGCCCTCTAGTGTTTGTTGAACATGATCCCAAGGCATACAGTGGGGACCAAAATTGAGTACATGTTTGCATATTTCACATTTCGGAGCGAATTGTAAGGATGTTTTCTTGGCCGGGGTACAGATCTCAGTCGAGTACCAGAGTCCTTTACAAGAATATTTGTAATTCACCGAAACGCCGAACTAGGGGTTCCGTTCCACGGGGGAAACGGATGATTTTTGAGGGCCGAGTCTTCACCGGAGGCGAGGGAGGTGGGATCCGTAGACGACTTCCCCAATACGGGACACAATCCTTGGGTTGTGATGGGTGTTTCGTGTCCGGGACGAAAAATCCACCGGGCTGGACCTTCGGGCGAGGCCAAGCCGGGAGAATATACAATGGGCGCAAGAGTCCTTTCCGCGGCGGGGAGGCAGAGAGTTCACCGGCCTGGACCTTCGGGCGAGGCCAAGCCGGGAGAATATACAATGGGCGCAAGAGTCCTTTCCGCGGCGGGGAGGCAGAGAGTTCACCGGCCTGGACCTTCGGGCGGGGCCAAGCCAGGAGAATATACAATGGGCGCAAGAGTCCTTTCCGCGGCGGGGAGGCGGAAAGTTCACCGGCCTGGACCTTCGGGCGAGGCCAAGCCGGGAGAATATACAGCGGGCACGAGACGGCTCGGTTCCACAGACCCGGCGGGAAGGGTGTCCTCGCTCGGATCTCTAACTACGACCAACAAGGGGGCAGGTTCAGCGGGAAGGGTGTCCACGCTCGAGCCTCTAACTACGGTTAGCTGGGAGTCGGATCCGGCAGGAAGGGTGTCCACGCTCGAATCCCTAACTACGGTTAACTGGGAGTCGGATCCGGCGGGAAGGGTGTCCACGCTCGAGTCCCTAACTACGGTTAACTGGGGGTCGGATCCGGCGGGAAGGATGTCCGCGCCCGAATCTCTAACTATGGTTAGTTGGGAGTCGGGAGGTGTCCGTCGGACCGAACGGGAAGGGTGTCCACGCCCAAACCTCTAACTACGGTTAGTCGGGAATCGGGTCCGGCGGGAAGGGTGTCCACGCTCAAACCTCTAACTACGGTTAGTTGGGAATCGGGTCCGGCGGGAAGGGTGTCCGCGCTCGAACCTCTAACTACGGGTAGTTCGGAGTCGGGAGGTGTCCGTCGGACTGAACGGGAAGGGTGTCCACGTTCACGTCCAAAACACCGTTGGGAACGGGGTTAGGTGAGGTTAGGTTTAGGTTTTAGTTTCCTTTGATCTCAGTCTACGAAAAGAGAACACACGAGGAATAATTTCAGATGCTCTTTAATATTTTATTTCCAATACACCGTTTTCTTGAGTCCGCTACACCGTTTTGAACGCACGTGGACCTAACTGTACTAACCTTGACTGTCACGTTTCTTGAATAGCCGCTAGCCTTTTCCTTTTCTACGATCACTCACGAAAAGCACTGTCTGAGCCTCGTTGCTCCGAGCCGTTTTCGGAAATAAACGCCCGCACGTAGTTTGCGTTAGGCGTCGAAGTATGCCTGTCCCGGCGAAAACTCCCGAAGAGCGCACGTCTACTCTCTCTGTCGATCACGAGTCCAAAAGCCCGGAAACACCTCCCTGTGAGACCCTCCTCTCTTTCTTCCCCTTTTCTCGTGTTCGGGATTTCTAGTATTTTTCCTACTCCCGGGATCCTAACTTCTTAACTTTCCTAGTATTTTAGGAGTCTCGGCTAGATATCGGACGGCGTTGCCATCCCGGGTTTGCGACTTAGATGATCCTTATTCTTAATGGTGGCAACTTAATATTTATTATACTTCAGACTTCATAATGTTTCTCTTACAACTAGAAATGATTAACTGCTGCATAGATATATAATATACAAAGGGCGTGGTGCGATGTGGCGTACACGCCTCCTAGGCGGGCTCGTCACACCCCCCCTTTCTTCCCGCGGCGCGATAAAGAAGCGGCCGTCGCTCTTGAGAGTGACGGTGTAGCGGTGATCACCTGTCCCGACGGCTATCCTTACTCTTCGTCCGCGGCCGGACCGGGTTGCTGCCTTTTGTTTGATCTGCTCGATGACCCGCCGAGGCAGACCGAGTAGGTCACCAGCTCCGGCCCAACCCTCCGGCAACGGGCACACGTCGTCATCTGCTTCCCCTGGTGGGTCCATTTCCATCGCGATGACGGCCGGGGTACTCGCTTCGGCTGTATCCAGCGCCCGCATGGGGGCCTGATCGGCAATTGGCTCGCGGTTGTCGACTACCGACAAGTCGATGAGGACCTGCTCCAGCATCTGGTTCTCCCAGTCAGTGAGTGGTTCTCCCGGGTGGGCGCAACTAGGGGGAGCGTGGCAGGCTTCTATCTTCTCGCAACGTAGCCCGAATACCGGTCCCCTGGCCCCGCTGAGGCGGTGTCACGAAACAGCGGCGGAACAGAGGCCTGTCTCCTTCGGAGTCGGTGACGTCGGCTGATAGCGTCGGCGCGACTCGCCGGGTCGGGGACTCCACATACCGTCGCGGAGGCCGGCAAAGCGTGCGTCGGGAACATCCTCGTCAGTGAGGAACTCTTCCTCCTCTCCTTCCTCGCTACTATCTCCGAGGTTCACCTCGGGGTAGAAGGCCTCGGTGGCGTTTGAGTCGTCACTCAACACGATCACCTCGTCGTCCATCTGAAATAATAGTCCTGACTTATTGGAGTAACCATACCTTCTGGACTCCCTGCCTAACGGTGTAGCTAACAAAGGACTCTTTTAACCTTAACCTATGGATGTGTGGATCTTAACTTAATTTCGTGGTTCTGGGTGCCTACCGTGGCGGGTCGATCGGCCCGGCGATGCTGTCGTTAAACGTGTCGGGGGTGTCTGCTGCGTAGTACGGCTTAAGCTGCGAAATGTTGGCGATCCGCCGCCGTCGATCTCCCAGGCGCTGCAGTCGTACCAGATTCGGAGAGGTGAATTTCACAACAGTATATGGACCGTCGTACTTCGGAGCGAGTTTGGCAGCGAATCCCTCAGCCGCTTTCGACAAGGGATGTTGTCGTAGCCTTACCTGACTCTTGAGCGCCGGCCGCCATTCGCGCCTCCGAAGGTTGTAGTGCCTCGCCTGCTCCAGGGATGCCCGTTGAAGGTTCGACCGCACGATATCGAAGATCCCTTGGAGGCGCGACGCCTTGTCTTCGGGACCTGTATGTACGACCGCCGATTCAGGCGTAAGATCGTCGTACAACATCGCCGGCAAGCGTAGCTCTCGTCCTTGAGCGAGGAACGCGGGGCTATACCCTGTCGAGTCCGACACGCTACTGTTAATAGCGAAAGAGATCTCCGGCAGCATGCTATCCCACGAACTTTGGTCGTCCTCTGACAGCTGAGAGATTAACGTCTTCACAGTGCGGTTGGTCCTCTCGGTGGGATTCTCCTGGGGACAGTACGGCGCCGTGTACTGGATTTCCACACCGATCTTGGCGAAATAGTCCTTCAGGGCCCGACTCGTGAATTGGGTCCCGTTGTCGCACACGAATTTCCGGGGAGTACCCACTCGCCCAAGTATGTGTTCCCGAAACGCTTTCTGTACGGCGGCGGCGGTAGCCTTCCGAAGTGGAATCAACTCTACCCATTTGGTGAACACGTCGTGGAAAACCAGCAGCATAGTATTCCCCTGCTTCGACCGGGGCAAAGGACCTACAAAATCCGCGCAGAGGATGTCGAAGGGCTCCCTTACGACCCGGGTTAGCATCTTCCCTGCGGCTTTGATCTGAACGGCCTTGAACTTCTGGCAGGACTCGCAGCGCCGCACATGGTGCTTAGCGTCGCGGTACATGCCGGGCCAGAAGTATCTCTGCGCCAAGCGGGTGATCGTCTTTCGGACCCCCAAGTGTCCTGCGGTTGGGGAGTCGTGACATTCGTAAAGGACGCGGGCTCTATGGGAAATAGGCACGCAGAGCTTCCACGGGAAGTAGTCCTCGTCGTCCGCTCAGTGACCCAGGTTCCTATAAAGTTGGCCGTTCTCCAGCGTATAATCGGCGAACTTCTCCGGTTCCTCGCGCACCTTCTCCTTCATCTTCCTGGTCCATTCGCAGCGTTCTTAGAGCTCGACCATCCCTTGGAGTACGTCGCAGGGCTGCCGTGAAAGCGTGTCGGCTACGACGTTCAGCCTCCCACGTCGGTAGTGCACGTCGAATTGGAACTGTTGAAGTTACAATGCCCAGCGCGCTATTCGGCCGGAAGGACTCTCGATAGAATTTAGCCACTTGAGAGCCAAATGGTCGGTAACGACCTCGAATCGGTAGCCCTCCAGGTAACACCGCATCTTTCTGATAGCCCAGATGATGGCCAGACACTCTTTCTCGGTCGTTGTGTAATTCTGTTCCGTAGGAGTCAGTCGGTGGCTGGCGTACGCGATAACCTTCTCTTGGCCCTGCGACAACACCGCTTCCAGGCCGACGTCACTCGCGTCGGTCTGCAAAATGAACCTCTGGTCGAAATCCGGACAACCCAACACGGGGGCGGTAGTCAGGCATCTTCTTATTTCTTCCAAGGCAGCTTGCTGTTCCGGTCCCCACGACCACTTCCGACCTTTCTTCAGCAGCGCGCTGACTGGCTGCACGAAGGTCGCGAAATTAGGAACGAATCTCCGTTACCAAGATGCCATGCCGATCCATTGGCGGAGTTCCTTTAGGTTAGTGGGTGTCTTCAACCCATTAATCGCGGATACCTTCTCTGGATCCGTCTGGACCCCCTCGCCGCTGATCACATGCCCAAGGTAAACTAGTCTTTGCTGGAAAAACGTACATTTCTTGGGATTTATTCTCAAATTGGCCGCCCGCAGTCTACGGAAAACCTCGGCGAGATTAGCGAAGTGTTGTTCCTCCGTGGCACTGATGACGATGATGTCATCCAAATAAGCGAACGCTACTGGCTCCATCTCCGCCCCGACGACGCTATCGAGCGCCCGTTGGAACGTGGCACCGGCAGAGTGCAGTCCAAAGGGCATTACCTTCCACTGGTATAATCCCCTGCCCGGGACCGTGAAGGCCGTGTATTGGCGACTATCTCGCGCCATGGGGATTTGCCAATAGCCGTTTTTCAAATCTAACGTGAAAATGTACCGGGCGTGACGTAACTTCTCCAGGATGTGATTGATCCTCGGGACGGCGTAGGCGTCGGGCACTGAGTGCGCGATCAACTGTCGATAGTCGATACACATGCGCCAATCGCCTGCCTTCTTCTTCACCAGCACGATCGGCGCGCTGTGTGGGCTCCTGGAAGGCTCGATGTGTCGATGTCGTGCTGCATCGCCGGATTCCTGGGATAGTACCTCAGCTTCAGCGGTTTATCGTCGCGCATGACGATACGATGTTCAGCGACGTGGGAAACTCCTTGTAGGATCTCGAACAACGCTACCTCTCGGTCGATAAAGCCCTTTTGCCTCGGACTCAAAGGCGTAATCTGTTGTTCCTCGTCGTGTTGCTTTGCCTCCGTCCCGGCAGATACCTCGACCTCGTTTGGTGCGGTCGCGGCCCGTTTCGGCGCGGGGCCGAGAACCTCCACTTCTCCTTGACTGGCAGTACCCAACTGGACTCTAGACTCGCCCGGGTATACCGCTTCCCTTCGTTTGTCCCTCCAGGGCATGAGCACCGGGGTTAACAACGGGTCTCCTGCTACTTGGGGTTCCGGCTGCAGTTCAAGGGTGGCCTCCCCGCAATGCACACGTGTTCCTGCTGTCTTGAGGAAGTCCATCCCAAGTATCACCCGATCCAACATGGTGGGCATCACCAACATGGGCAAGAGCACTGTAGTTCCCGCCAGCGTGACCGGGGTTCGCCATAACTTCGTCACGTCCAGACATGACCGATCGGCCAACGCTATTCTAGTGACGACATCCCGAACCTCACCTGCACTGGCGGCCAGGTTGGTAAAGCTTTCGCTGGCGAAACTCCTCGACGCCACCGTGTCGACGGTGGCGTCGACCCATTTTCCTCCGACCTTTATTGTAGCCGTGATGAGCCCACCGTGTATCCTTAACGGGGGTTGGGTTGATGTCGGGTCGCTGCTTCGCGTGTCTCTGCCGTACCCGAGTTCCGGCGGAGACGTCCTCCGTTTCCCGAAGCGTCTCGGCGGCAGCATTCTACATTTAAGACTCCCACTCGGCCACAGTCCCAACAGAAGTCGCGACGTGGGTTAGGGCAGTTTCGGCGAAAGTGTCCGTTCTCACCGCAGCGGTTGCAAGCCCTCTGCGCGTCTACTCGGGAGGACCCCTGGCCGATCATTCGGTGAGTCGCGTGTCCCGTCGGTGTGGTAGGTTCCGAGTCCCGGAAGGGATTGGGCGGCCGTCGAATTTGCGATCCCTCGTCGCTTTCGGTCGTCGCTCCCGGGGTTCTATTTCGGGTCGACTCGAGTTGTTTGACACTCTCGTACTCGGTAGCCATGCAGGTTAACTGTTTCAGCGTCATGAACTCGCTGCGCTTGATATACAGTCGATACTCTGGGGCCATGTTTTCATACGCTCGGTATAACTCCTCCCCTTCTCGGTATCCAGCCTGTTGCATCTTCGTCATGAGCTCGATCAAGTATGTTTTGAAAGACTCTCCTTTCATCTGCACGCGCGTCCGTATCTCGTCCACCAAACTTTCGAAGTATCGCGGGGGTAGGAACAAATCTAGGAATTCCTTCCGGAAAGTTCTCCAAGAGGCGGAGTGTAGATAGCAAGTGCGAAACCACTGTGCCGCCGGGCCCTCAAGAATTTCGGACAAAGCCCGAGGAATCTCTTCCGGGTTTATCCTGTACGTCGTCATCTTTTCCTCGAGTGCGGCTATGAGCGCCAACGGGTCTGCGCTGCCGTCGAACCGCAGGTTCCACTTATGGATCTTCTCGGGAAGCAAATGCTGGGCGGAAGTCGTATTACTTCGGGCATCCCGTCCCTGTGGATTCGGGACCACGCGGGGATCTGTCGGCGGCTCCCAGAGGCCTTGTGATGTTCCGGGGTGTACCCCTCGGTGACGGCCGGGGATCTCAACCGGCGCAGGGTCGGGAACGATCGGGACTCGGAGGGACTCCGTGAATTGGTCGGTCTCGTCCTTCTTCCATGATGGGACAGGACTCGGGGCCCGACTGCTATACAGTTCCTGCAACTCGGCTAGTCGATTCCACACCCGTTGTGGAAAGGATCCTGAGTTGACCAGGTTAGCGAACGCTTTCCTGGTCTCTTCGACGGTACCATCAGCTTTGAATCCGAACTCATCGGAAAGGGAGTTGAGCTCGTCTATTCGGCGGGCGTAAATCCAGCGAACTCCTACACCAGGGTTTTTAATAAAATCGGCTTCTTCGTACTCACCATCTGATCCCTTAGGAGAACTCATCGTTTTGTCTTCCAGGGCGTACTTTCTTCTCAAATACTCCTAATTCCTCCTGACGCTGTGCTGAGCCAGTCGTCGTATCTCGACTCTCCGGGTAACTCTTCCTGTCTTTCTCAGTGGGTCTTTAGGCCACTTAGGTAAATCCCAAGCTAGTCTCGGTGTCCCTGTTCGGGCGCCACTTGTAAGGATGTTTTCTTGGCCGGGGTACAGATCTCAGTCGAGTACCAGAGTCCTTTACAAGAATATTTGTAATTCACCGAAACGCCGGACTAGGGGTTCCGTTCCACGGGGGAAACGGATGATTTTTGAGGGCCGAGTCTTCACCGAAGGCGAGGGAGGTAGGATCCGTAGACGACTTCCCCAATACGGGACACAATCCTTGGGTTGTGATGGGTGTTTCGTGTCCGGGACGAAAAATCCACCGGGCTGGACCTTCGGGCGAGGCCAAGCCGGGAGAATATACAATGTGCGCAAGAGTCCTTTCCGCGGCGGGGAGGCAGAGAGTTCACCGGCCTGGACCTTCGGGCGGGGCCAAGCCGGGAGAATATACAATGGGCGCAAGAGTCCTTTCCGCGGCGGGGAGGCGGAAAGTTCACCGGCCTGGACCTTCGGGCGAGGCCAAGCCGGGAGAATATACAACGGGCGTAGGAGTCCTTTCCGCGGCGGGGAGGCGGAAAGTTCACCGGCCTGGACCTTCGGCCGAGGCCAAGCCGGGAGAATATACAATGGGCGCAAGAGTCCTTTCCGCGGCGGGGAGGCGGAAAGTTCACCGGCCTGGACCTTCGGGCGAGGCCAAGCCGGGAGAATACACAGCGGGCACGAGACGGCTCGGTTCCACAGACCCGGCGGGAAGGGTGTCCTCGCTCGGATCTCTACCTACGACCAACAAGGGGGCAGGTTCAGCGGGAAGGGTGTCCACGCTCGAGCCTCTAACTACGGTTAGCTGGGAGTCGGATCCGGCAGGAAGGGTGTCCACGCTCGAATCCCTAACTACGGTTAACTGGGAGTCGGATCCGGCGGGAAGGGTGTCCACGCTCGAGTCCCTAACTACGGTTAACTGGGGGTCGGATCCGGCGGGAAGGGTGTCCACGCTCGATCCTCTAACTACGGTTAACTGGGAGTCGGATCCGGCGGGAAGGATGTCCGCGGTTGCTGCCTTTTGTTTGATCTGCTCGATGACCCGCCGAGGCAGACCGAGTAGGTCACCAGCTCCGGCCCAACCCTCCGGCAACGGGCACACGTCGTCATCTGCTTCCCCTGGTGGGTCCATTTCCATCGCGATGACGGCCGGGGTACTCGCTTCGGCTGTATCCAGCGCCCGCATGGGGGCCTGATCGGCAATTGGCTCGCGGTTGTCGACTACCGACAAGTCGATGAGGACCTGCTCCAGCATCTGGTTCTCCCAGTCGGTGAGTGGTTCTCCCGGGTGGGCGCAACTAGGGGAGCGTGGGAGGCTTCTATCTTCTCCAAAGCAGGCATGTCGAAGTCGCCATTCAAATAGAAAACCTTGACTGCCGTTCGAAGCCAAGCAACGAAGACCAATCAATAGATAATACTGTGGAAATACCACCAACATCTTTACCGGAAGTACCAAAATTCTCAGACAGTTCATTGCTCCATAGCAAAATCTCGGCATTGGGAAAAATTATTATCCCGGATGTGAATTTAATACCAGATTTAGAAAAGCGTATACCGCGAAGTTCCGTCCGATTCCGTCTTTTTCCGTTTTTTTGGAAAAATGTCAAAACGTGCAAAAATGGACTTAAATATATAAACTCTCAGGACCTATAGATCCCCGACCATTTTTATCTATTCGTATGTTAGATCGCACTATTAACGGACTTTTAGACTCAATTAGTTGTGTCGGAGGAAATTTAGCCAGTGATATAATTGAGAGGGGGGACGGTGGCCCAGCAGGTAGAGTCGAGCCCCAGGCTCCCCGAGAAAAAGAAACGGTCTCTTTTTCCAAATCTCCACCACTTCTATGCTCTATCACTCACTTAACATTAGTAACAAATTTCGGCTCCCCGGACCCGCACACCCCCTCGTCCACGTTACTATGGACCCAACAATAAAACTTTCGTCACTCCTAGATGGCGCCAGGTGGCAACCCCACCGCTAGGATAAGTCGCTACTGGCTTATCACCGGTACGATCGAAAATCTTTGATAATGAATCCTCTGCAAGAAATTGTAGAGGCTCTAAGCTCCCGGGTGGAGTAAAAGAATGTAAATAATTGAGAATATAAAATATAAGGCCGTTAAATGCAGCGCATCAACTGCTGATGGGAAATCTCAGCAGATAGTTGGTCATATGGAAGTTAATGTAGAATATAATAAAATTACAAAACCTTTGATAATTTTTATAGTACCGTCCCTGAAGCAGAATTTGTATTTAGGCATTAAGTTCTGGAAACTTTACGATCTGCTTCCCAAATGTCTAAATGTATCCGCGTTAGATGCCGATCATGACCGCAAAATAAATGCTGAGCAGCACATTCTGTCGGAAATGGATAAGGCGAAATTAATAAATGTGATCAACTGTTTTCCGTCGTTCACGGCAAGACCAATTTGATAACTCATGCAATCGATGTTGGTTCGGCCAAATCTATAAAACAACGGAATTTTCCTGTCTCACCCGCGGTCGAAAAGGCCATGTATCCCGAGATCGACAGAATGTTACAGTTGGAAGTCATAGAGGAGTCAGAAAGTTCGTGGTCTTCCCCAATCGTGATGGTGACGAACCCGGAAAAGTTAGGATCTGCCTAGATTGTCGTAAGGTGAATAGTTTCACCGAAAATGATGCATACCCCCTTCCGCAGATTCATTCACAGATTCACTACAACCCGATTCGGATTTTGGCCGACCTCAGCGTCTCCCTCCAGGCTCCTCTGCTCCTCGCGCGCCTCCTCCAATCGGAAATACCCAGTGCAGTCAGGTTCTCCTCCACTTGGTACTTCCATCGAAGCTTTGGTCGTCCCCTTTGTCGTCGCCCGTAGTCGACCCTCGCTTCAAACACCTTGTGAGCTGGGGATTCTTTATCCATACGCACAACGTGGCCGAGCCAGCGCAGACGTTGTATCGTGATGCGCCGGACCACGTCCACGTCGCCGTACAACTCGTACAGCTCGTGGTTCATCCGAATGCGAAAGTCGTCCCCAATCCGAGGGGGCTTAAGATCTTGCGAAGAATTTTTTCTCGAACACTCCAAGCGCTGCTGTATCCGTCAGTGATATTACCCATGCTTCTGCACCATATAATAGCACGGTTAGGATGAGTGTCTTGTAGAGTGTTAATTTTGTTCGGCGAGAGAGGTCTCTATTGCACATTTGCTTACTCAGACCGAAGTAGCACCTATTGGCAAGTGTGATTCTTCGCTTGATCTCCAGGCTGACGTCGTTTTCGGTGTTAATGGCAGTGCCAGTGAACTCCTTGACCACTTCGAAGGTATAGCTGTCCGCTACCACATGGGAGTCTAGGCGCCGCGCCTCCCTGCTTGTCGACAGCATTTACTTCGTCTTGCCCTCGTTTACCGCCAAACCCACTTTTGCCGACTCTTTTTCGATAGCCGAAAATGCAGCAGTGACATCACGCTTGCTGCGGCCAATGATGTCAATATCATCGGCATAAGCAAGGAGCTGGGCACTTTTATAAAAAACAGATCGATCTGGCACTGTTTTTTATAAAAGTGTCCACCGGCTTTCCGCAGTACCTCTTCCATCACGAAATTGAAGAGATCGCACGACAGGGGGTCGCCTTGTCTGAAACCTCGAACGGTATTAAAAGGTTCGGAGAGGTTCGTTCCTACCTTGACAGAGCTGATGGTACTGCTCAATGTCATTCTGCAAAGCCGTATTAGCTTTGCAGGAATACCGAACTCAGACATGGTGGCATATTGGCATTCCATTGTCGGGCTATCGAATGCAGCTTTATAATCGACAAAGAAATGGTGTGTGTCGATGTTATTCTCCTGGGTTTTTTCCAGGATTTGGCGTAATGTGAAGATCTGGTCTATGGTGGACTTACCAGGTCTGAAGCCGCACTGATAAGGTCCAATCAGTGTGCTGGTATACGGCTTCAGTCGTTCACAAATTACTCTCGATAGGACCTTGTATGAGATGGTAATTAGGCTGATTCCCCGGTAGTTGGCGCATATCGTCGGGTCACCTTTCTTCAGTACAGGACAAAGGACGCTGAGATTCCAATCGTTGGGCATGCTTTCTTCTAGCCATATTTTGCACAAGAGCTGATGCATGCACCTTATCAACTCTTCGCCGCCGGCCTTAAACAACTCTGCAGGCAGTCCATCAGCACCGGCTGCTTTGTTGTTTTTGAGCCGCGTTATAGCAACTCGGACCTCGTCATGGCTAGGTAGTGGTATATCCACATTGTCGTCGATTGGTGGTATCGGGCTGCTTCCTCCAATGAAAGGATTGGTGCCGTCATCGCCTGCTAGCAGCTTGGAGAAATGCTCCCTCCATAACCTCAGCGTGCACTGTGTATCCGTAACCAGACTTCCATTTTCATCCCGACAGTTAGATGCTCCGGTCTGGAAACCTTGTGTCAGACGGTTGACTTGTTGGTAGAATTTTCGAACATCATTCCTGTCTCGTAACACCTCAAGTTCCTCGCACTCTCGCTTTTCTTGCTCCCGTTTTTTCCGCCTGAAAAGTCGCCTCTCTTCCTTCCTTTTCTCCCTGTAACGTTCACACGTAGCTCGCGTTGCGCCAGACTGCAGCGTTTTTCTGTGGGCGGCGTTTTTTGCTGCAGCTGCGACGCGACACTCCTCGTCATACCATTGGTTCCGTGTGGGTGGGCGCTTGAACCCAATGGTTGATTCAGCAGCTGCTCGCATGGAGTGGGAAATGTGCGCCCAGAGTCCTCCGGCGTGAACAGGAAGAGGGATAGGTTGGTGGAGCAGTTCCGAGAGGTGAGTGGAGTAGGCCATTGCTGTCCGTTGTGATCGCAGCCTAGTGACGTCAAGCTTTCGTTGCGTGATGGGGCG